TTTTGTAATAATTGCATTTAATTCATCAACTACCTTTTTCATAACTGGACGATTGTCTGGCTCTTTGTCCCAGCACTCTACAATCAAATAAATTATTTTAGTGATCGAAAAAAATTATATTGAATTAAAATTTAAATTTAGCATTAATATATTTACCAATATAAATGTTTGCGTAATCTTCAGGCGTACCAGGAATGACACTTTCTCTGAGTCCTTGTAAAATTTCTATTGCTAAATCAATGTCGTATGTCTCACCTTCAACATAAAAAGGAGGACGACCACTTGAAATTTCCCATAATATAACGCCAACACTGTAAACGTCACTTTTTTCATTCAATGTATATTTTTGTGATGTCTTGTCATTTTTTTTCCGTCCACCAAATCTTTTAGGATCCATATAAGGAATGATACCAAAAACTTTTGACTGGTTAGTTGCTTCATCGATTCTTTTCGATAGACCAAAGTCTGCTAGTTTAATTGCACCTTGATGAATTAATATATTGCCGGTATGCTATATATGTAAATAAATTAAATATTAAATGTTTAACGGTTATATTCTTAATAAAACAAAATAGGATATATATTAAGTAAGATACCAGATCACGATGCACAATTCCTTCGTCATGTAAACACGACACAGCACTAGCCAACTGGAATGCCAAATTGTATTTGAATCCCCAAGAAAGTTTATCAAAATTGTCCTTCAAATATTTTCTAAGTGTACCGCCATCAGCATATTCCATGACTAACCAATACTTTTTCAATTGATCAATTTGATTTTCTAATTTTTTTTTTATTTTTTAAAAAAATATATATAAATGAGTTAAAAATTTCAAATATAAAAGTCAATATGTATTCCTAATGATTAAGATGTTATACCTTGATTTGATGCTGTAATCCCCAAAAAGCGAATGATATTGCAATGAAAATCAACCCCCCGTTGAAATTCAAGCTAAATTATTCAAAATATTAATAAATGAATGATTTTATATTAAACAGAATGAAATACAATACGAATTGCATTTGTAATTACCTCACGAACAAGTTCTTTAACAGTGGTATTGTTAAAGTCATGTAATAATTTTAACGCGAGGTATTGCTTTGAACTTTTCCAATTTGCACGGTAGACTTTTCCAAAGCTGCCTTTACCAATCTCTTCAAAATTAATAAAATGTTTGTATTCGTAGTGTTTGATATCTTTTCTTGAAATATATTCTTCAAACCATTCATTTAAATTATTGGAAGCTTGCATTTTGATTTATTTTAATTCAAGCGAAATGATGAGAAAAAAAATGCACTCGGTAGATCATGCAAAATTTATAAAATTTCTAAGCCGCTGCTCATTATGAACGGTGTAACCGTAAAAAAATCACTTTTTTTTTATAAAATCTCCTAATTTAGTTAGTTGTATAACTCCAATGATAAGCGATTTATTTCGATTTTAATAATAAGATTGAATTAAAAAGTTTATTAAGAATAAATGACTGCTATATACAAATTATTTTAATTATTTTTATTAACAAATTAAGGAAAAATATTACATTATACATTTAATAAAGAATTAAACTATCTCAGAAAAATGATGAGTTTAATTATTTAATTTGATAATGTGAGATAGTTACTTGATGAAATATAATTTTTTTTTATTGAATTCTTGAAGAAATTAAATTAATTTCGTCAGTTAAACGTAAATATGATATATTATATTTATATTTAAACTTAAAAATTTCGAAAAGTACGTTCATACTTTCGACGTCAGTTAGTAATTTAGGCATACTTTTTTTTTTTCAGAGGATAGATGTAATAATTTCATAACTGTTTTGGGCGAGAAAGTCAAAAGAGTCGAATAGAGACGCGAAGGCTAATTTGGATAATTAATTAATTTTTGCAATTAAACTCAATTTATAAGTAATTATTAGTGTATCAATAGGTTGCAATTCCGTGATCAGAATATCACCCCAAACCTTTCTAGTTTTAATGTTTTATAAATTAAATGAAAGATAAAAATCATGTTGCAAATTTTAGATTTTATCCATAAACAAAACTTGTAATTTTTTTTACGAACCCTTTAAGATTCCAAAAAAAATATTGTATGAAATGGAACACCAAATGCAATAATGCTCAGTTGTGCCAACAACGATGCGATTTATTATAGGTCAAAAATTGAAAAATAATATGAAGAATTTTTAGCATACCATTTGGACGGATTAGTCCTATTTAATATAATAATCATCATATTTGATGAAATCTTAGTTTCTTAATAAGATATATTAGATGATTTATATTGTGATTCTTTTCCAGATCGGAGTAAAATATAAGAGATATCGCTGTCAGTTTGGATTCAACGTATTGTACTAAGTGGGTGCCGGATTACATCTACGAACAAAACGATAATTATTGTCAGTACTATAAGTGAAGACCGAATGTGTTTTAATTTGGAGATTGGTGAGTAACTTCATGAAAAATATGACGATGATCTTGAGAGAAAATATAGCGAAACCATAACTTCAAACGCTGGTGAGGAACCTCCGTAGTGCATCTAATAACTGCAAATGATTGACAGCCAAATAATCAAAAATCTTACGCAATATCTGGTTCATTAAAAGGGCCAAAGATTCATGCCATACAACATCTGTTGAGCTCTAGTCTTATGACAACACTGCCTTCATCACCATCCAATTATGATTATGATAATAATTCAGATAATTTTTGTTAATTGAAGTTGATTATACGAATTCCAATGAGTTCATGTGAGGGAGTTTATTTCTTTAAATAATATATTATTAGAGGAAGGTGGAATAAAGTAACTGCGGAAAATCATGTGATTAGTGGATAATTGATAATGTTATCCGCTTAGAAAGTTTATAATTAATATAGAATTGAAAGATAACTTGAGATAGGACTTTGAAATTAAACCAAGAGCTCAATAAAGGAATATCCATTTGCCATTTCCTTTTGCTATTTCTACACATAGGTGTGATTGTGTTGTAATAAAAGTATTGACGATCTGAATTAAACATTGTTTACTTTTACAATTACCAGGCAAACAGTGTGATTACGTTCTTGCTAGACTTAAAATTGAGGTATATATTTAAATTTTATATATGTTTTTTTTTTATTTATTTACATAATTTTACTTGGTTCCAAATATGTAGCTCTTAAGAACGTTGAATCAATTTATTCATCAGGATTGTTATGAACGTATAACTTCTTAAAAAACAAATTTACATTCACTATCCTTTCTTCTATTTCCAGTTTGAATTATGTTATACTATAATAGATTCAAAACTTTAACACAGATTATTAGGCAAACAGAGGAAGGAGATTGACGTCAATATCTTCGAGATAATTCCGTTGAAATTGATTAGATAAGTTTTATTAGATGTGTTAAAGAGTTGAGGATATATAGTACATGATCATGGATGTTCATAGACGTGAACATTTTACTAACTTCAAAATCTTTTTAAAAGAAAATGAAACACGACATATTGCTTTATGTGCACACCTGTAATCGAAATTTTAACGTCAAAAACGTTATCTTTTGATACCATATAGCCCTGAAATATTATATAAAATCAACAATGACGAATTATATACGAAAGCTTCAGAAATTTATTCTTTCGCGATGATTATGTGTAAATTAATTACAGGGCTTACCACCTTTTGTTCATCTTGCTTATGATGAGGATTTAATAGGAAATATTATTGATGGTTTGTGATCAAGGAGATATCAAAATTTTATTTGGATTTAATAGAAGAATTTGAATCACTTTCTATTTTAAAGTCAAACATTAATGATCGGTCTTCAACTGACATTTAACGTCCCGTTCAAAAATATACAAATATAATTAAATATGAAAATCTTTTACTAGATAAACTTTAGCCATTATAGATATATGAAGTTATTGCAACAATCAAAAAATCGTTGCGAGAAAATAATTCCGAAAATTAAATTTTAAAATCGAAACGATTCATAAAAAATAATCGATTCTACATTTTTACTCTTTATGATCGAACGTTTCGGGTATTAGGTCTAATTAACAATTATATTTTAATCTTTATATAAAGGTAGAAAAAAAAAGACCCAAGTCAAGATGTTAATGTATTTTAATAATTAAAAGTTAATACTATCTCTTAATTAAACATGGTTAGATTTAGAATAGAGGATGGAACCGGTTAATCTTTAACATAGGTTAAGATGATTAACTGACAAATATTTCAATCAAGTAAAAAAGTTAATTAATTATAGAAATGATATATTACTTCTTTGTAAGTTATTATAGTTAATTTCCTATATACAAAATATAGTTATTTCATATTTATATTTGTAAAGTTCTGTCTAATTGTCAATCAATTGATTTCCCATTTGAAAAATTAATATTACTTAATTATTGCTTAATTCCATCATTAATATTTGGAAAATTTTTTCTGTAACTCCCCGTTATATCACGGGGGATTACATCACATATAAGTTTATAGCGGATCAGAAGATATCATATAGTTCCGTAAGCAATAGATTATTCGTTCGTTTAAGAAGCATATCTTAAAATCAAAACTTGCAGGTCCTTTTACTAAACAAATTCCGTTATTTAAATACTCAGTTACTGTAAACTTGATGTGGGTAAATATGAAAATGTAGTAATCTCTGTGCAGCGTAAGATTAGGATTTACCTTAACGATCTGTTAAATGAATATTACTACTGTAAATCAAGCCGACCCGCTTGACTTACAGTAGTAATTTGAGCCATTAAACTAATTAAATTAATCAACTCTAAATGTAAAATGAACGATAGAACTTAATTATATTGCAAGAACAAAGTGATAATAACTAACTAATTCCTGCATGTCCCTGCATTATGTTCCACTTCCTTGCATTTACCAATACATATTCCTTACTATTACTTTATCACTTGGTACGGCTTCTTTCCAGAAAATTCACAGTCCATACATTAGAGCCATCATCATTCTTTACTACTCCTTTTTTCCTAATTGCAAAACCGGAAAATCTACCAAATTCCAAGCAATATTGATAAGCTATATCAAAGTTAGGGAATAGCAACCCTTCATAAAGGTTAGGACAAACATTAATTTAGGCAAGTTGGAACCAAATTGAACTAAAAACAATCCTCCCATTTAAATAAAGAAATGTGAGCAGATGATAATAAAAAGCTAAAAATAACAAACAAATATCCATACCATTTTGTGTGAAATCCAGGTTGGTTTGGGGTTGTGAATAATGAGAGAGTGTGTGGATTGCTAGTATCGAAAGTTTCATATTCCAACAACTCAAAAATCTCGTGGTTACCAAAATTTTCAAAAAAGTCATATAATATAAAATTCAAAGAAACGTAAAAAAAAGTGTATAAAAGTATATTTAATATAAAAAAGTTTATTATGGTTTATGTTGTAATAGTTACATACTGTATTACGTAATCAGAGATGGCTTCACATCCGTTCCGTTATATGTAAATTATTCCTTAATATTTATTTAATTAAATAATTTTGAGATAAAAATTGTCAAATTTCTCATTGCTCATACATAGGGACGGTTTAAAAAGAGTTACTCCAGAGTTGGTTCCGATTATGAATTCCCCGAGTTACAACCATTTTTAATCAATTTTAAAAATTCGAACCGGAACTGACTCTGGACCAGTAAACCGGTCCGGTACATACAGAATGCAAATCAGTAATTTTGCAAAATTTGAATCGTATCATACTGTACTGGTCTTATATAACAGTATAACCAGTAAAGGATGCATAATTGAACAATTATTTGTAAGATAAGTTTCAAGTCACATTATGAGCGATATTTGTGATTCTGACTTACCCAATAATTCATAAAGAGAAAGAAAGTGAGTGTAAAAACTTTAAATAAAATAAAATAAAATAAAACGATATTCAAACATTTGAATTTAAAACGGAAACCGTGGCATACCATTTCTTGCCAAAACTTTCTGTGGAAAACATGCGTGATAAACAGCAAAAATTTCCGCGTAAAAATAATTTTAAAATAATTATATATTTTCGTTGAAAGAAGTCGTTTGTTGTTACTTTACCTTTTTCATATAAATTCAAACTAATATACAATACGGAATCTAGAATCTTTCATCTAAAACTTTTTTTTGGACAATATAAAGTTGCAATGCATGGATAAATGTTTTATTTTTTTCTTTAAAAAAGAAAAGTAATGTATTCGGAATACAATTTCATTATAAATCAGAACACATGAATATTATTAAGGTGTTTTATTTTAAGTACAGTAATAGATAATTATGATATCAAATGCCAATAATTAAAATAAAATCAAATTAAATCAAATTACAAACCCATATTATGGTTTAATTTATTTGAATATCTCATTTTCGATGTACAACGTATAAGAGAAGAATCCTAATAAACTTTGCATATTTCTAAGTTCAACGTTAAGAAAGAAAGCTAGTGATGGAATTAGTGAGAGTTTTCCTTTTTCGGGTTACAAGCAGCTTTTGTGTCTTTAATAGCATCTCATAAGTACAACATAATAAGGATGTGAATTCTTCTTAAGTTAATAAGTTATAATTAATATTTTACAAAATTGTTTTACAACGAAACCTGAAATGTTATCTTGAAGAGAAAACAGAAATAATTTCACAAAAGCTATCCTCTTCAATCTTAAATCCTTGATAGAGATTGGAATCAGTTCAAATTTCGTAGTCAACTACTAATGAAATTTGTCCGCTATCTACTTTACTGGTAAGTTTGAAATGTCTACATACTTGTGAACTTTGGTAGCTCATGTTGAAAATACAGGTATGGAGGTTTAAATTCTGTTTGAGTAAATTATCCGTTAGCACACATGCAATATTTAATCAATCTGATTAATGAAAATTTGAAACATCTCCAGTATATCGAATAATATAATTAATGGCCGGTGAATCGACTACTGGCATAGCAATCAACTTACGTTATTTATCCAATAATCAACTTGGATTTTAGAGATTGCAGAATCAAGGTTTGAAACTTCTGAAACTGTACTGGGACTATTGTCAAATTGATTTAATTACTTGCCAAACTTCATAATTTCTTTGTCGGCATCCAAAATAGATTTTGTATCTTTTGTAAAATTAGCGAAAATGCTCAATGTGTCATGTTGTAATTCATAACGTAAATTTATTTATAAAACCTTATATCGTGATCAAAAAATAAAAGAAATATGATGATTTATATCTTAATAAGATGTCAAATCAAGATAATAATTTCTCGATACTCAAAACTTTAATTGCTTTATAAAAATTTTTCTTCCTAAATTGTCAGTCCAGATTTATCACCCGTCCACCAAAAATAATTCCTCATTCAATTCAATTCTCGATTCGTCAACAAATACGGCCTTGCAAGGATGAATTGTTAAAGAAAATTTAACTGAATTTGATTTTTTTATAAGAAATCAATGTTCCATTAACTTACATCTTTTTCCTAAGTATTAATTAAGCCTTGTGAACTTCCGCTTGTGTATTCCAAGCTCGTAATCTACATTAACTTTTATTATGATGATCAAAAAAAATAAAATAAAATAAAAGAAACTTACCAACCTAATTAGAAAATCGCTATGAAAAAGCTAATAGGGTTTATTATTGGCAAAATCTGTAAGAATATTGAGAAATAAAATAAACTTAGTCAATTTGAAATATATAAATAAAAAAACCACAAACCAAAATTTTTTTTTTTTGTTCTAAACTAAAGATAGCTAATGTTTATTAATTATTCAAAGTCATAAGCGAAAATATGAACTAGGACAGGAACCGAGAAAAAAAATCTCCTAAGAGTGATGTGAGTAAGGAATGTTAACCCATTACGGGGAAACCCAGAAGTGCCTAACCACTCCGAAGAATGTGTTACTAGCGGCAACAGAAAGACGAACACACAACTGGGGAGGAAGTTTTTCTGTTCATATTCAATTTTGAAAATAAAACATTCGCACAATACACCGTCATTGATTTTATTATAAATACTCATCGTCATATGAAATTTTTATTATTTATTTTTATCTGAGTTTTTTAATGTATAACATTGTCTTTTTTTTAAGTTGTACCTTACGGAGTACAATCCGACGATCTTTTTGAGTGCAGTCATGCGAATTTTTTATGCAGACTGAATAAATTTTAATAAGACTTGGCCACCATCAGACTGAGATAGCCATGCTTATTTTTTTTTACAAACCAGCATAGCATAATTCAGAATGACCATATTTGATTTGATGAGTATAAATTAAAAAATATACTGTATCATAAAATTTAATAAAACAATATACTCAAAATGGTTTTGTGTATCTTGGATGAAAATGGCCTTGACACTCAAAGTAAATTTGATATACAACGTTTAATTTGTTACGTTAGAGGGCTTGAACTTCCATGAATTCACTTTTACAATGATTCGTTTTCTCAGAATTAAGCTGAAACGGATTATAGTTCTGCGAAATGTCTTCAAATATTTATACTTAATTTGAATTTCAACCTCTTAAACAGTGAAAGTCAGTTATATACGTAATCTAGCTATCCTTTATTGTAGATAATTCAATAAAATTTTTATATACCTATTTTTTCTGTAAATATGAAAATTGGAATTAGAAACAAATATTTTACCAATAAATTTAACCATGTTGATGAATAAAAATAAATTCTTTATTCATCGAGGAATATTTGGATAATGTTATCTATCGAATATAGATATTTATTAGAATATCTTTTTTTTTGTGGTTTATCTCATTCCTCTATTTCATTAGCAGGACGTAAATTAATCGATCAAATTGCAAAGATTATTAATGAATTCTCAAAATCAACACAAAAAGAAAATCAGGATATATAAACAAATCTTTTAGATTCTGGAGAAATTAAAAAGAATAAATTCACCCTTGGATTAAGAAGCTCAGAAGGAGATTCAGAAGAAATTCAACCCAGATCTCAATCATCTTTATCTGATAATTCTTCTTCTGCAGACAGAACTATTACCCAAGAGATAGTATTCTCAACAACTTTAAATATTAGTGAACCTATTCACGAATCAGAAAGTGAAACAGACAATATAGCCTCACAATCTTCCAATATATATTAAGTCATCACAAGTATTTAACATTCACTTTTATACATATACAAAACATTGAATTGTAAACATGTTGAATTTTCGGCGGCAAAATTTGTCCAATAATAGTGTGAAACCTTTCAGTAAGTAACATAATAAGTTTATTGTTATTGAATAAAGCGATCCATCAATATTTATGCAATGCTTCAATTTAAAGAAATTGTCAAATTTCACCTAACTTCAGAATGGCTAATCCAAGCCAAAGTATAGACTGTTACTCCAAGGTTTTGCTGCATTTCAACAACGTAATCATATATAAATGCAGTTGCCTGTATTCATGCTCCCCAAAACGTACGAAATAAGAACCAATCTGTTGACTTCAAAGGAGAAAAATCTTTCGAGTGGCTATTGTCATCACAAGCGATATTCTATTTCCAACTTGGCATTGTAAATTTATTTTATTAATCGAAATTCTTATTCATGACGTGGCTGTAGATAATGATACGAAACAATCAAGATGGGTAAGAAATGGTTCTTAATTATATAAATTGTTCTCATTCGTACATTCGTATTCGCATTTAAGCTTAAAACCTTACCTTATATAATATTATTCTTTTTAAGATTAACAAGATGTCCTCTAATAATAATGAAACGAATTCTTTATTGTATTATGTAATAAGTAAAATATAACGTTTATGGATACTGTTACGATTAAATGCAAATTCCGGCCGAAATCTTCATAATTTTGTTTGAAGATCGCTCTTAATAATTGCAGTTAGTCCCTTTGACGATCATTTGCCAGTTGCCAGTTGTCAAGGTTCCAGTTTGTCAAGACGCCAGTTTGGGCTTAATTAAAGATCTTTATAAATACAAGCCGGAAATCCTAAAACAGCTCAAATATCCCATGCTCGTCTTTAGCATATTTCTTTGAAAATCATTCCCTTCGCTATATTCCCTTTACACCTTCGCGATAATTTCGATTTTCGCCCTTTAAAATTATAATTTCGCATTTTGTAACACAGTTTATTGTCTTATTTTTTTTTAATTTCCGATTTTATTAGTAATTTTTATATAATTTTAATGTAGCCGTTTCGTAATTGCGTAGTTAGAATTTATTTCTTGGCATTTACATAGTTTAATATATTGAAAGAGCGAAAGTGTAGAGCGCCGACGTTGAGGAAACACTGATCAAATTTGACATATTAAATAAATTTTTGTAAT